CTTCCCTGACCATAACCGCTTCCATGACCTCTTCCATTACCTGTTCCCTGACCATGACCGCTTCCCTGACCGGTTGCCTGACCAGGACCACGTCCATGACCGCTTCCCTTACCAGGACCACTTCCCTGACCATAACCGCTTCCATGACCTCTTCCATTACCTGTTCCCTGACCTCTTCCATTACCGCTTCCCTGACCTCTTCCATTACCGCTTCCATTACCTCTTCTCTGACCATGTGGTTCACTACATGCATGGCCTGTTGTGGTTGGGCAACATTTCTGTGTGGCAGGACACTGGCCATCATGGAAACAGCTTTCAGCACACAGTGGAATGTTCTTTGGGTTTTGACACCGACCCGGCTTCACTGCATGGACACGGATAGTCAGCTTTAGTTTATGCACACACAAAGCATGAATAGCAATTTTTACCTACAGAGTGAATTATATTCTAAGTATCATTCCTCTTTCTTTTGTAAAGCCATCCTGCGTTTAAAACTAGCCTAAGGGATGAATTCAAACCTACTTTAGACGAGAACAACAAGACAAAATTGATCATCATCATCATCATCATCAACTGACCAAAACAATATAACACAAATACCTGAATATGGAGCAGTACGGTTACGTCGACATCCATTGCTGCAGCACTTCTTATTGTTGGGACAGTTCGAGTCACTCCTACAGGACCTGGTACACGATCTTCCAGATGATTGGGGTGGACACTCTCCTGGCTTTGCTGTTATACAGACAGAAAGCATCACCAAATGCTGAACATTTCCATTCACGCAAGTTAGAAGCTTTACATAACATTTCAGTCTCTGCTTAACTTTTTGTAGGACCCCCTATCATCCATTATTAACTGAAACTCACTGGAAACAGGCGGAACGCACACAGGCCCACAGTCAAATTGACAGCATTTGTGTCCTCCAGAGCAGTTTCTATAAGAACATCCTCGACGAGACGGCTTGACCGTCAGCTTCCCCAGACAGTAACAGTCCACTAGAGGATTCAAGAGGATCATTAGGGGAGGCCAGGGAGTGCCGTTTCAGCATTCGCAAATCAGGGGTTTTGCAATGGGTCTCAAACCTTAACACTAATTTTACATATTTATCTGCGTCGAATTAAAGGTTTTAAAACCTACTACTCGTTCCTAAACTGTTTTAATTACTTTTAAAGACTGAGAGTCACTTATTTCTGCATTTCTTCAGGCTGTGTAATGAAGTCAACAGATCTTCTCACATGTGGTTCGAGTAGCATCTGTTATGCTCAAGTATCCAAACAGACATGATAAAACAGCAATCAACGAGCAATACACTCGAGCTGTCATCCTCCAGTCCTGCGATCTCACAATGAGCTCCGCTGCTGAATTGGTGCGTCAGGAGAAGCGGACAGCGACGCGCACAAAACTGAAACAAATAAACCTGTTGCTGCAATATCAACCTCTGTAAAATGGGGTTTTAAAGATCCAAGGAGATCAAGTCAACTCCAACCCTGATCAAACTCACCTGCCTGTAGCTTTCTAGTAATCTGACTGGAAGGCCTTGATTAGCTTGTTCAGGTGTGTTTGATTGGGGTTGGATGAACTTCATGCCATGTCATAATAATTAAGGTAGCCTAATTACGAGAGGATTGTGCATTTCTATGGCGACACTATGAACTGCCAAATGTATCTGCAGTGGTCAGGGGCTGTTTCAGAAAGGAGGTTAATGCCGAGTTCACACTGCACGATTTTAGCCCGATTTTTCACTCGCCGACAGGTTTTGCGAAATCGCCGACAAATGCCTGACATCGGAGGCAAATCGGTGCTCGTTCACGCGAGTGACAATCACGCAGTGTGAATGATCAAAGACGCGATCTGAGGGAATCGCCGACGCCCGCGAAATATTTGGCATGCTAAATATCTGGAGATGTCGGCGATTCACAATCACGCTGTGTGCAATGAGTTCTGACTGAAAAGCACATCGGCGATGACCTACAGCCAATGATAGACCAAGATACAGGGCAGCGGGAAGTTCGTTGAGGAGTTATAAACCAGAATATCAGTATTTTAATATATATATGAACAATTATATCATACACAATAACCAGTATACCTGGGGCCCGTTTCAGAAAGGAGGATAAGTGAAAACTCTGAATATGTTAACCCTGAAATGAGGGAAACTCTGGGTTTTCCGTCTCAGAATGTGAGGTTTGTCAAACCCAAGAAAGCAGGGTAAGTCAAGCCATTTCTGAAAGAGAGGTAACTTACTCTATGACCCTAACCTGGTCGGGAGCAGGTTTTCTTCTGTAAACCCAGAGTTTCTTATGGTCTTCTCCCCCTTTTTAAAGTTTAAGCGATGTTTAAATACCTCATTCATTCATTAACGCTGCAAAAATGCTTTTCTTACTGAGTATTTCTGTTTTATTTCAAATACAGATATCTAAAGGGGTCATATGATGCGATTTAAAATTTTTCCTTTCTCTTTGGAGTGTTACAAGCTCTTGGTGCATAAAGAAGATCTGTAAAGTTGCAAAGACTAAAGTCTCAAATCCAAAGAGATATTCTTTATAAAAGTTAAGAGTCAACCACGCCTACCTAAAACGGTTCGTTCTAACACGCCACCACATGTCCACATCACGATGTGGGGAGATTTGCATAACGCCGCCCAAAGAAAGAAGGCGTAACTTTTATTCTCGCTGTAGTATTGTTGCTGCCACCATGTTGTGGAGACACTTGTGTGTTTCGTTATGAAAGCGAAACTACTTTGTTTGGCCTTCCAAAAGAGGACGATATCCGCTTCGTCATGCCTAGAGCTGATCCGTGCTGGTCGCTGAGGAAATACATTACCTTCGCGCTGTGGATCACCAGATCGGCTTTCACCGTGGACGAAGCGGAGTCCAGCCCGGGGTCGTCACATGTGGTTGCCGCAAGCCCGCCGGACGCTCCTTCGTCGAATCCGCCGGCCGCCGCTCACTCTAGGCTGCCGCTCACTCTAGCCCGCCGTGTGTGACGCTGTGTGTTTTGTTGTGAAAGCGAAACTATTTAACCACACAGGGCACTTTGTGAATATAATTTGACAATAAACAAGAAGTCCGTCCTTTTTTTTTTGTATGGGTGCTTGACTAGACATGTAAAGGACGTCAGTGTACGTCTATTCACAACCTCTTAAAAACTACCTGGGGCACTTAAATTAATTTTTGCAGTATTAACCAAGGTGTAAGCACAATTGCTTTTGCATATTTCATAAGGATTTCATAGAGGGTCATGATGGACTATAAATGCACGTGTAAAAGACGTCACCTACTGGACGTCGTCTCACAACCAGGGCTGGATTGGTAATCGGGCATACCGGGCATTTTCCCGGTGGCCCGACAGAATGTTTTTTTGTGTTGCCAAGGACCATCACGCTGTCCCATTGGTTTGTCTCCTATATTGGCAGCGTAAACCATCCAGTCACAATGCGCTATAGACGGAGCGATGAAGTACTTTGCTCCGCCTATATAAAGATCGCTTCACTCCAACTTCTTCTCGTCGGCTTTTCCCACGTTTTCACAGCAGATTTATCAAGAACAGGCTTGCTCTTCGGTGAGTGATGCTGGCCAAAGAGCCAGGCAGGAGGAGGAGAGGAGAGTAGTTGAATCTGTAAATTGCTTGATAGATGTCTGCCTCCGTTGCGAGTCCCTAACCTATCCTAATGTGTGTGCGCGCCATGAGTGTAGAATACGTAAACCATAGACTGTATAAAAACAGACGTAAACACTTTTTAATAAAACGTAAAGAAGAAATTATAGAAATTAATACTTTTATTTAGCAAGGATGCTATAAATTGATCAAACGTGATGATAAAGACATTCATAATGTTACAAAAGATTTTTATTTAAGATAAATGCTGTTCTTCTGAACTTTCTATTCATCAAAGAAACCTGAAAAATTATATTCAGCTGTTTTCAACATAATAAAAAGAATATATACATATATATATA